ATAAAGACAAATTTGTACTGTGTTGAAACAACCCTGCAAAGAGAGAGCATCTCTAAGGACATTGTGAAATATTTTTATAACAGTATAGAAAACACCTAACAGGCAAATAGCCTGATTTGCCGCATTAACTCTTGGGTGTGTATTGCTACCTTTGTACAGCTATATACTGTCCCTGGGTTGCCCTGAGTATATTGGTCAAAATAGAATGCCATCTAGGTTAAGGCTCAGAAGGAATGATGTAGAATGAGGGAATTTCAAAGCTGCTTTGTATTACTTTCCTTGAGAGATATAGCTCCATGTGCAAAGACCATATAGCAACAAGTAAGGAATTGGGACAACTGATTCAATTGTACCTCAACACCTCTCTTCCCCCCAAAAAGATCTGGAAATTTCAAGCAAACAAAGTAGTTATGTATGGGGAGAGGGAAAACTGGTGCTGTCTTGAACCATTGAGATAATATCTTTAATTCTCCACTCCACTTGTTACATAGAGATAGACACAGTTTTTAGAAATGGGGAGATGTACTTGGGGCCAAATAGTACAGGATGAGTGAGGCACGTTTTGACTTTTCTATGTCATGTGAATGTGAAGATTTGGATCTCTATGTCTACCCATCATAGCTATAGATGGTAACTGAACCAAGTTCTGTTGGAGCAGACTGGACTGTGGAGTGTATTAGAGGGAATTTTTCCCCCTCTGCTCTCAAGGAGGACATACATCTGTCATTTCCTGGGCTTGGGGAGAATTGAGCCAAGTACAAACTTCAGTCTCTTCAGTATCTTCTTCCTGCCTTTTTATTCAGATAAATAATTCATTCCCATTTGATTCTTTCTGGTAGACAGCTCTACGGGATTATTCGCCTTGGTCCTGGTTTTAAGATGCTGTCAAATCATTTAGCATTTGAATTAATCCAGATAATATTCTCTTCAGAGTCTATTTGGCCTTCACAACTAACAAATAAAAACAAGATCATCTAATATCAGAAAGAGACCTTCCTGGTCATAAGTTAACTCATCCAATAATTGGTTACATAGAAGCAATGGGATGGTTTGAAAAGCTTGTGGTTATTATCTCTAGCTTTATTTGTTTCTTTTAATTTAATTCAATTTAGCAATGTACCACATTCAAGCCTATGAGGAGCTAGACTAGAAAAAGACAAGGGAAAAAATGCTTAATGCTTTGAGGACTAATGGACCAGGATGTTTCATTATAACATTATAGCAAGGTTTATATATGAAGCTTGTTTTACACATTGGCACTGAATCATGAATGTAAGAACCAGGCCAGTATAAAACAAAAATCTTTTTACGTAAGCCTCTGATTGCCAAACTGTCCTCTCCTTTTCACTCAGCAGCTTGGTAGTATTTCGGTGAACAGAGCCAATGTACTTTAGTCTTCATTAAGGAAATTATGAATCCGGCGAAGGCTCAAAAAGAGAAAATTAAAGTCATCAAGAAATCTTCTTTGGGCAGATGTTTTCTTTGAAAATTTGAAGTATGTTTTGATCCATCCTGGTCCCTTGCTGAGAGGGCCATGAGTAGAGACCACAATGTGTGCTCAGCCCTTCAATACAAGGGGGTAACTCATATGATCCAATCTTCTCCTCTGATCAGGGAAGGAATAAGTTTTTCTTTTCTTTTTTTTTTCTTTTGGGGTTTGGCAGGTTGGAAACCAAAGAGAAGGGGAAGTGTAAGTTAAAGAGAGTTGAAAAAAGGAATCTTGTCCAGCTGTTCTAATGTGGAAGAATAAACATCTTGGAAAACATGGCAACCAAGGAAGGAAAGGTCAGATGTGAGCAAAAGAGTGCTGTTGATGCAATGGGCTCTGGTAGTAAATGGAGGAAGCCTGTGTCCCTTGGAATGACACCTCTGGCATATGCTGCTTGGAGAAAATCAGGATAATGTCAGTTGGCATGGGATCAGACAGTAACATCGTTTTGGTTACAATTTTAAAGTGAGCCTCTGTGCCAAAATTTGGGGCCACTTTTTGAGATGGAGATGAGTAATATTTCCCTAGTGACAGAAATGTTCTCCCTGTGTCTTCTTTTAACATTTATGGACAATGATTGCACTTTATGATAATGTGAACAAAGTGCATCATGGCTAATGTCAGAGGTTTTTTTTTCCTAACAAAGAAATTGTTCTACCAGTTTCCATGTAGTGAATCCTCAGGAAGGATATACTGGCATGGATCTCCCCAAGAAAAATTTTGTTCAGAGAATTTTCAGTATGGAGAGTTATACCATCCAAACAACCTGATTTTATATACTCATTTTCAGAGCTTTACTGGTTAAAAATGCTAGCAAGCCCTTCTCCTTGACAACAAGGACACATTTCCTTTCTCTTTTCCCCTGCTCTTGCTAAACAAGGAGATCCTGGGAAATGATTTAATCCCCATTATCGTGTTTCATTATTCATTTAATAATAAATATGACATAGTGGATGTAGTCACAGAATCACAGAATCTCAGAATTGGAAGGGACCCAAGAGGACTCTCAGATTAACATAAACCTGCAAAAGAATCCCCACTAAAACTAACCTTCCAAGTAGTCAATCAACCTTTTCTTAAAGAACTCCAATAAGAGGGAATCTACTTCATCCCAAAGCAGTGAATTTCACTTTTGGAAAATCCAAATTATCAGGGAATTTTTCCATGCATAAAACCTAAACTTATTTCTTTATACCGTCCAGCCATCGTTTTTACTTTTGTCAATTGGAATTCAATAGAGCAAATCTAATCTCTCTTCTATTTGGTGGCCCTTTAGATGTTTGAAGATGACTACCAAATTTCCCCTGAGTTTCCCTTTTTCCACCTACATATTCCCAGGGCCTTTCATATGGCAAGGAACCAAGGCCTTTAGCCACCCTGGTTGCCTTCCTGTGGATGTTTTCCAACTTATAATTGTCTTTCCTAACTGTGGAGACCTAAATTTGACACAGTAGTACAGATATGATCTAATTAGGGCAGAGTACAGATGTGCTATCACTTTCTTATTATTGAAAGTGATGCCTCTCTTAACAACATAGTACAGAATTGCATTAGTTTGGGGTGTGTGTGTGTGTGTGTGTGTGTGTGTGTGTGTGTGTGTGCGTGCATATGTGTCTGTGTTTGTGATATGACACTGTTGACTCACATTGACCTTGAAGCCCACTAAGGCTTCCAGTTTTCAGGAGACAAGTTGTTGTCAAATCATGCCTTCCTCATCTTATATTTGTGAAGATGATTTTTTTGAACCCAACTCAAAGATTTTGTACTTAGCTCTATTAAATTATATCTTATAAGGCTCAGTTTAATGTTCTAAACTCTCAATAACTTTTTGGATCCTGACCATTGTAAGTTATGTTAGCTATTTCTCCCACTTTGTGCAATTGATATGCACGCCATCTATATTTCCATCTAAGTCATTGATAAAAATGGTAAATAGTGTAGTTCCCTGGGGAGTTTCACTGGAGACTTTCTTCAAGTTGACAGGGGAACTATAAATGACCACCTGTTGAGTCTACCATTAAAAACAGTGGTAAAGCTATCCAATTATAGTAAAATTAGATACAATGGCAACAGTGGCAAGGGGCAAACCTATCCAATTCTATATGATTTAGCTCTATCTTTCTCTAGTGAATAGTATGAGACATTTAATCTGTCATTTCCCTAAAATCTAGGCAGGTTATATACAGCATTGCCTGACTTAACAGTTAGTAAGACTGTCAAAAAGTAAATACAATTAATCTGGCAAGATATGTCCTTGCTGAAACTATGCTGGTTCTTTCTGATTACTCTCCTCTTTTTCAGATGGTCACTAACCATCTCTTTGTGATACATTTTCAAAATTGTACTAGGAACTAAAATCTATAGTTTACAGATTTTCTTGTCTTCTCTCCTCTCCTATCATGTCCTCTCCTCTACTTTTTTTTGCTTTCCCTCCCCTCCCCTCCCCTTTTCTCTTTTCTTTTCTTCTCTTCTCTTCTTTCCTCTTCTCTTTCCTTCTCTTCCCTTCTTTTCTCTTCCCTTCTTTTCCCCTCCTCTTTCTCCACCTATTCTCTCTCTCTCTCTCTCTCTCTCTCTCTCTCTCTCTCTCTCTCTCTCTCTCTTATCTGGACACTTTCCCTTGTCTACACTGGCAGTATTTCTCTCATACTCTGTCATTGCTCCTATATCACTGAGAGTTATTCTTCTATTCTTTCTGTGCTTAAGAATATATAGTTCTTCTGGACAAGGTGACTCAAATACTTCAAAGTTGGTTACACCCTTTCTTACTTCTGACTTATTTATGTTGGGTACCAACTCATTAGCCATTTATGTTCTGTCCTTTTAATTCCAAAGGTCATTCTCCTTGGCAAAGAAAATAGAAGCAAAATAAGAGTTGAGCTGCTCTGTCTGCTCCCTGTTTTTGGTTATCATTTCATCCCATTAAAGCAGTCATATCCCTTCTTAGATCTTCCTTTCATATAACTTTAAAAAATTGTTGCCCTCCAGTTTCCTCCTTCTGAGCTCATTTTGAGCTTTAGCACTCCAAATACTATTCTAGGCTTGATGTTGAGAAAATCTGAGTTCAAATTCTTCATACCTACAGAGCAGTTTCTTAACCTCAATGTCCTTCAGGCACCAGGACTTATCTACTCAAGTCATAGATGGGTTATTGATCTGTTGATAAAGAGTTTCCATACTGTAAGTTTCTTTTATGGATGAAATCATACAGGTCCTTCAAGTAGCTTGTAATGTTATGGTTATTATTTGCATACATTTTTTTATGTGGAACATTAGCCTAAGAGGCTGGTAGCTTGAAGACGGTCCCTGGATCACAGGGCCAGGATCCTGGAAGCTATCTTATAGGTTTTAGTTGGTACTCTGTATGTTAAAAATAACTAGCCTTTTCCCTTTTTTATGTTTGGACTTACTGCAAACTTTACAATTCCTTAATGGATTCATTGTGTGTTTACCAAAAGCATGGTGAATCACTGCAATTCCAACAGAAGGACTAGTTAGGAGTCATAGAGCTTACCCAGGTACAGTTTTCCAGGTATTATTGTGGTCTTCTCCCAGTTTACCGGTTAAAGACTTTTTGAGTCATATCTCTTCCACACCTCAATGGAAGGGTCTTATAGGGTGGCTGATCAGCTGTTTGGTTAGTTTTCTTTACATACAAAGAGAGAGGCAAAATTACATAAATTCTAGTAAGTTGATTTTTAAAAGTGGTTATATATGAGTATAATCTGATTATTTTATTGCCAATTTACATTATAGATGCTGGGTTAAGGCACTCAGTCTTAATGACTGCAATCTCATCTGCAAAATGGGAAAAATAATTCTTGTTCTAACCTTCTTTTCAGGGCTATAGTGAAGAAAAAATAAGATAACACATGTGAAAAGGATTTGAAAAATATAAATCACTATACAAAAGTAAGCCGTTTATTGTTATTTCTGTGAGCACTCAAAATCAGTTGTTTCCTAGACTCCCTATAGCTTAATCCATTTCTTATAAAACTTACAATTTGAATTAAGCCTCAATAGCATTTCCTATGAATCATGATCTAATGCAAAGTAACAATACAGTGAAAATAATTAGATTTTCCTCTGCTGGGTCACTTGAATTTTTCCCATTGTAGGCTTTTTCATCAGGCATTCATAACTGGGAAATGTCTAGACAAAAGCTGTTTTTTTTCATTTACAGGTCAGAGGTCACCTTCCCACTTCTTTTTCTTTCTTAGTTGTTTTTGCATACTTTTCTCATTTAACTAAGACTGTAACCAAGTACACTGAATATCTCTTCCAAATAGTTGGAATCAATTGTTGTAGGTGTGAGTAAAGATCAGGAAGGCAAAGCCGCAGGCCTTTGGAAAATGTCATCTTGATATTTTTGTAAAATGCGAATGGTTGAGCTTAGATGTTGTGGCTGATCAAAGAGATGAATAAGTAAAGACCAAATCGTTCATTTTTAATTTATATTGTTAAGCAAATCATTAAAAAAGAAAAGAATGAATTTTATTTTCTTCTCTGTAGTCAAGAAAAAGCAGCTATCCACCTTCCTCAGTCTAGAGGGGTGATGGGTCCTCACTCACCCAAATATTTTCTCTGTTGCACAGGATGAAAGTAAACACCTTTTCATATCAAAATTTAAGGCTTGCTGGGACTTTTCCTTGGAAAATTCATTCATTCATTACATTCATTCAACATATATTTATTCTGTGCTTATCGTATTGAACCCTTGTGCTCTGAGCAAGTAAAAAAAAATGCCTATCGGCATTTCCTCACCTCAAGGAATGTCTATTATGACCTAATTTAGACATATCACAGGTCATCAAAAAGGTTCATTCATATATCATGGTGCAGTGAAAACAGTGCTGGTTCTGGAGTCAGAGGTCCTAGGTTCAAATCTTACCCCTGACATTACCTGTGTGATTTGAGGCAGGTTGCTTAAACTCTCTGGGCCTCAGTTTCCACATCTGTAAAATAATAGAGTTTGAACAAGTTAGCCTTTCAAGGAAGAGACTTCCAGCTCTAGATCTATAACCTTATATAGCTAGAAGAAAATCATAAATGATGGCATTGAATGTCTCTGAAAGGTTCAATCAACAAGTAAAAGGGAATCCCGGGCAGCTATGATGAACTTTGGAAAGACCATTCTCATTCTTCTGATCCAGTTCACTCTAAAATCAAGGATGTTTTGTTTCTTCAAATCAAATCAAAAGGGATTAGTTTGAAGAATAATATGCTTACTTTTAATTTGGAAGGTAAATCACTTGAGAAGGAATGCTACCTTTTTTCTGTGTGATGCAATGCATTTTCCTGGCAAAGTCTGATCTTGCCACTGAACTTAGTAGGTATGGAAAGAACGGGCAAACAATAATATGTGAAAACATTTTTCACTTCTAACAGGTACTAGGTGATGTTAATAGCTGACATTTATATTGCATATTTAAGGTTTGCTAAACATTTTTGATCTCATTTAATCAACCCTGTGAGGTAGATACTAGAAACATCACCCTCATTTTGCAGAAAAGGAAACTGAGGCTCGAGAGGTTAAGTGATTTGCCAGTAAATCAGAGGCAGAACTTGAATCCAAATTTTCCTTGACACCAGGTTCAGACACTTTAACAACATTCTCTAATCGGTGCTGAGAAAACTCTGAATAGAAAAAATAAATGTCTGCTTTGAAAAGATTGCCTTCGGTAATCTCTTACCTCAGTTTTTCATTACAAATATGGTCTTCACCTAGCTGGGCCCTTGCTCCTACTCAGAAACCCCTGTGTTCTACTCCACCCACTCTTTATTGCATCCTTACAATGACTGTTTCAGAACATTTCATCACTTTCCAAGGTCCCAAACAAACACTCAGACAGTGATTGCTTCCTACTTCACTCAGAAGACTGAGGCCATCATACAGTACTCCCCTTTGTTCCTTTTTCTCTATTCCTCAAGACTTCCAAAGACCATCAATTATTCTCTTCTCCTTTTCCCTGGTGACAGGAGAAGACAAATGTCTACTTCTACTGCTCACCAAGGCTAATCCCTTCACCTTCAGCCTGATTTCATTCTCCATGCCTTCTCTAGGACCTTGTTTCAGCAGTCATATCTGTCTAAATCATGCTTTCACTATTCTCAATGCCATCTCTTTCCTATCGGTTTACAAACATGCTTAGACCTCCCTAATCCTGAAAAAAAGTCTTATCTTGATATCATCTAGAATATATACATCTGTTTCCTTTGCTTCACTGCTAAATTTTTTTCAAAAACTTGTTTCCCTTAGTGTTTCATTTTATTCACCACCCATTCTTTGGCTTTCACCACCATGACAACTGAAATCACTCTCTAACATCACCATTGACCTCAGTCCCCACATTCAGTGGCTTTTCTTCACTCCTCATCCTCTTCAGCCCTTCTATAGCATTTAAGAGTAGTGTGCTTTTACTGTATTTTCTCTCGCCTCTTGGCTTCAAGGCATCACTCCCTCTTGATCCTTCTCTTCTATAATTAATCATTGGTTTCCTTTGCTGACTCCTCATCTTCCTAACCTCTTAAGATGAATGTTTCCCAAGGTTCTGTCTTTGGTTCTCTTCTCTCTACACCTATCTCTTTTCCCCAATTCCAGTTGCCATTTCCATGCAGCTAATTTTCAAACTTCTATCTCCAGCTCTGAGGTTTCTTCTGAGTTGCATACACATGTCTCTAGCTGTGGTGGGTAAAGATGAAATGACTGAGGAAAAAAGGTTTGAGCTCCAGAGCGCATCAATTTATTAAGCAATGCTTGCCCATTGCCCAACAAATTGGCACCAGGTCCCTTCCTCAGTTTAGGACTGGATCCCAAATACAGAGGGAGACAGACTTTTATACATTAAAAGCAATTAATCAAATAAAACCAATTAAAGAAAAGGAAACAATACCATATTAGGTAATCTGATTTCTAATTGAATGAAAGATTAGAGACTTTGCAAGTTAAGAGGAAGAGAGTGAACAGGTGCAGTTTTCTGAGATCAGAAAAGGAGGTTTCTCACTTCCCTCAAGTATCTGAAGACAAAGGAACATGGAAATGATAACTGATTGATCAGTATGGGGCCAGTTTTTAGATAAGACATGTGTTGCTTTAGATGTACAGTTGTAAAAATACTCCTTGCATCACTCTTTAGGTCTGACTGAAGTTTCTGGTCAACATGACTTAAATACTTGGTTAAGAGTCTCTAGTGGGTAGAAGTGGTTTGGGGTCTCAGCCACGCAGGGCTAGGTTCAAACAATGCAATAAGATTTTCTCCCAATTCCCACAACTGAATAAAGTTTTCTCACAGGACAGAAGTTGGTCTAGACCCATAAATGAATAGAAAAGGAACTGAGCTAGCTCCAGAATTAAGTCACAAGAGGGAGTCAGTGTGGTCCACTCATTCCCACAATTAACCACTTGCTCTTCTAATCCCCTCAATTTCCTCTCAGCTGTCAACGTGACATTTCTAGCTAGCCATCCCAATGTCATCTCTAACTGATCATAATCAAAACTGAAATTACTATCTTTCTCCCTATTCCTTCTCCTTTTTGTGACTTTACTATTATTAGTAGTAGTATCATCATTTACTTTTTTCCTCAGTTCACATAGTTGTTTTTTTGTCTTTTTTCCTTTGACACTTCTCATGTCAGTTGCTCATATCTATGCAATTTTCATAATCTTTTTTTTTTTTTTTGCTTTTTGGTGAGGCAATTGGGGTTAAGTAACTTGCCCAGGGTCACACAGCTAGTACATGTTGTGTGTTGTGTGTCTGAGACCAGATTTGAACTCAGGTCCTCCTGACTTCAAGGCCAGAGCTCTATCCACTGCTCTACCTAGCTCCCCCAGGCAAGCACACTTTGAGGATACAGAGAAAACAATCCTCTTTCCATTAAATCCACACTGCTCAAATAAATCTCCGTAATTGTGGGGTATGGCAAGGTCCCAATCTCTTCTTTGATCTACAGTTTCAGGCTGTTTTAGAGATTTTTTCCCCTTATCAGCACTACCTAAGAAATCCCTTTCTCTTTCTAGAACATTTGGTCCCCACGCTCTCAGACTTGAGCTTAGTAATGAGGCATCACCCAAAGTTGGCACTGTTCCATAATTTTTTCTTCTGTAGCTAGAAGACTACATTCTGAGATTGTACTTATCTAGGAAAGAGAAAATCCTCTCTCCTTTACACAACAGTTGGAGTTCAGAAGCACTTTTCACAACTTACCCTTTTGGGCTATATAGTCAACTATTTCTGCTTCTGCCATTAACAGCTTAGAGGAGGACTGAAATGATGGCAATTTGGAAGAAAGATATACCAGAAAAGAAAGAGTGGAGACCAGCCTTTGATCCGTTTTATAAGGGAGCACAAAGTAATTGTGGGTCCCAGCTCATGGGACCCATCTTGAGGGTAGACCTACTCATTAAGAAATAATTGGGATTTTTCTGTGCTGTCTCAATAAAGCATCAATGATCATGTCCACATTCCTTGGGCAGATACTTTCTTTACTTTAGACACATTCCTTAGAAACTCATGTTACCAGCAAACATCCCAATCTGCCCCAACACACACTTTATACATGCAAAATAAATATGAAATAACTTGGAGTGACATGGAGTTACCTGAGAAAATCAAGAAAGGCCTTTCATTGGAAGAGGCACTTGAGCTAAATTTTGAAGGGAGCTGGGAATTCCAAAAGTTGGAGGTGAGGAAAGAAATTATTCTAGGCATGGCAGACAGCTTACACAAAGGTATAGAAGCACAAAGATGGAATGTCATATCTTGGGAAGTGAGTAGGCTAGTTTGGCTGGGAAGCAAATTATATGAGGGGGCAGAATTGTGAAATCAGTCTGGAAAGATAGGTTGGGGCCAGATTGTAAATGGCTTTACATGGCAAACAGAAGAGGTCATATTTCATCCTAGAGGCAATAGGGAGGCATTGAAATTTCTTGAGTAGGGAGTACTATGGTCAAACTTCTGCTTTAGGAATTTCACTTGGATAGCTATTTGGAAGATACATAGTAAAGCTTGAGAACCAAGAGACCAATTAAGTGCTACTGTAATATTAGGTTAGATATTATAAATTGACGAAGTAATGAGGATCTGAACTAGAGTAATGACCATGTGAGTGGAGAGAAGGGAAGGAATGAAAGAAATACTATGGAAGTAGAGACAACAAGATTCTTACATCTGCCCCCTCCTTTCTATTTCTGCAGCCACTCCTCTAGAAGAGTCCAGTTGCCGCTTTCCTAGACCATCACAAGAGCATTCTTTTGGGTCTACACTCCACTGCAATTGCCACTTCATCTTCATATGTAGATTTAGTCATGGCATACCTTGGTTTAAAAAAAATCGTCAAATTTCTTTTCTTAGCACTCAAAGTCCTCCAGACTGACTTGTCCACTTTCCCCACCTTCTTTCACATAACACTTGTAGGTATTCTTTGTGCTGAAGCCAAGCCTAGATACCTTCTATCTGACAATCAGCTTGCTCTTTCCCACCTACTTGCCTTTGTTCAAACAGTTCTCCATGCTTAGAATATATTGCCTCTCCTTTCCCTCCCCCGAATTCCTATACCTCCTTTAAAGCGTCATTCAAAAGTTATCCCTTCTATGCAATATTTTCTGTTTTCTTTCTTCTCCCAGATTTGTTGGAAATAATGACCTTTTAGACCTCTCATAGCACTTTGTTTTGTACCTTCTTAATGCATTTATGCAATATCATACATTATAGTTCTCTGTGTTTGTTGTCTTATCCCTTTGGGAGAGTATAAGCTCCGTGAGGGCAGAGACCTAATATTCTATAAACTTTTTATCTCCTGTAGGAGCTAGCACAGGGTGCTCTTCTCAGTGCAGTGTGTTTTACGGTTGCTGCCCATCTGGTCTTTGCCAGAGGCCTCACATACAGAGGAGGGAATGGAGCTCCTCCAATGCAGAATAACAATAATCTTTGATAATGACCAACTTAGTAGATGAGCA